AAATAAATTAAAATACTAAATTTTAGCCGCCATCATTCAAAACAATAATAAAAATATTTCATAAAATTATTTTATATAATGTGAATCTGATCATTCATAGTACAATTTTAATGGTTCTGATTGGAAGTGAAGGAAAATGGAGCGAAAGGGAAGTGGAGAGGCCCTTTTCCAGCACGGGCACGTATATATTGACCTCTTTCATGAATTCTTGAAGATTAATTTTCTATGTAGAGAAGTAGACACAGAAGCAAGGGCTAAGAAGTCAATTTTTAGCCTCAAGTTTTTCTCTTGTTTTGGCATTATAATACAATTCATTAACCCCACCAGTTAACACTAATTATTATGATAGTAATAATGATAAAATCACGTTTGGGGTCAAAGTCCTGGTTTTAAATTTTCTCTAACGACTTGATCACTAGCGATGTTGTGTCTCTATCTCAACATATACCTAATTAATTAATGATGATGATTAATATTGATAAACCCAAACTCCTAATCTTCTTCCGCTTAATTAATTGTCTAATGATAACTTCTGTAAATCTAACTTTACATAGAAAGATACATGTGGAGGACGACAACTCATTGTGTGTGTGTGTGCATGAGTCGTAAGTGGTGGGGTCTAAATAACACCACATATATTTGCAGTAAAGAAGCAAGTTGGAAATGTTGGATACGATTTTGATACTCACCTTCATGTGTATCTTATGTGGGCGCAAACCTTATTAACTAGTTAGGACCACGCCGCAGCTAGGAAAGTGCCAAATTTTTTCCTTTTTGTCTGGGATAAGTAGTGTAAAAAAAATGCCAATTTCTATATCTCTTCATCATCTTGCTTTGACCCCTAAAGAGAATAATAGTGTTAATTAATACTGCTACTTTCTCTCGCTTTGGCCGTAGGAGCTTCAGTGAGCTTCAACTGGCACATAGGAAGTGATGCAAATAAATTCAATTAATGCAAGTCCTTACTCGGTGGTTCTGCCTTCTATATTTTGTTTTTATTACTGTTAAAAAAAGTTTAGTATCATTTCACGCTTATTTCTTCTGAAAGTGACACGTCAATTATGTAGTTTTGACCCCCCCAACGAAAGTGCAAGAGAGAATCAGGTTTTGTAGCGTACCTTATTGCGGTGCGTGACTGTATGGCACTATATGATACAATTTGTGAAGAAACATTATTGTGTTGGTAAATGATAATCATTAAGAAATGTTATATTTTGTTCGCATTAATTGATTAACCAACAAAAGGCACACACACTGCCAGATTCGGAGGTCCCGTCTATGTAGGTTCGATTACTGACTGAGAGCTTTGATCCACATACATTATCTGGTTATCTAGAAATAAAACTTCCTTATCACTGGCCAATGATTACGCGAAGACTAGCTTAATTCTGAAACTGTACCCATTACTAAAATAACGCCAAAGATGAGATCAAGTGGAGAGACAGATATGGAAGACTATGATTCATTAACATGTTTGGTTTCCTCTGCATCATCCATATATAAATGTATATTTGTCCTCTTCTGTGTCGACGCGGGGTTGCTTTGTCATTAAGTCACAAAAACGGTTTAATGAATCAAAACCTCTGCATTTATATATATACATATATTTAATTACTTGATTAATTATATAGATTTGGACGCCTTTATATAATCTGCAACAACAATTAATGCAATGAGACAATACCAATCTGCAAAGGGATGAATGAAATAACCGAACTAATACCAGGGATAATAACGAACAGGAAAATCCTGGCTAAAAAATAAAACTTATGGAAAAATGACATTTTGTGACTAAATAAGAAAAATAATGATAACGTAGAATCCCAGCCAAGATTTTAAAATTTGGATAAGACAATTGATAAAAATACCATGTCTATATATAAGTTGAAAATTCTGAAAAGTTAAATTGAAAATACTTGCAGTATAAATTCTCAAGATTTGAACTTATGGAATTGTTTTCAATTAAGCAATTTTTTCGTATTTATTTTTCATGATTCTCGAAATTAGATATTAGGAAATTTCATGTGGATTAGAGGATTAGTCGCAAAAATATAGATCCATGGTGAGTCTATCCTCTTAACTTATCTCGACGTAAGTGGCGGACATTAAGTGTCATCTCTGCTAACCTGCCTCTCTAATAATACCGTATCCAGCATAGATGCATTGTTTTCCTTGGTTTCCTACACTTTCAAAACTTTTTTTTTTTTGGCCAATACGCAATTCCATATTATTACTCAAGGAAAATAACAGATTAGTACAAGAACAGACAGGTAAGAACCCGAACAAAGAAACAAAAAAACGCATAAACCAAGCACAGGGCAAAACAACACAAAAACCAAAGGAAAGCAAAGCGCGCAACATCAGCCAATGCCACTCTTATCAAAGTTGGCAACCACATCTGCAGAAGAACTTCCAGCATCTGGTCTTTTACTAGAGGCATAATCACAAGCCTTGAAACCATTCCATCTTTCCAAGTCTAAAGCTAAAACCTTCGCTAGAAGGAGTGTTGGTTAGTCAACCCACCCGTATGGGCACACTCCCTTTCTACAACTGACAGCAAGAAAATCTGCTGCTTCATTACTCTTCCTAGAGACAAGAGCAATTTCCACACCATTCAATACATTCAAGGCTTCAATTACCTCTTGCATTTCCCATCTACCTTTCCATTCAACACACTCTGCTGACTTATTTCTCCAGCACCAGTAGATCTCAGAACAGTCAACCTCAATCACAACTTGAGTCAAGTTCAGTTCAACAACAAGAGAGACTGCTTTCCTTACAGCAAGAACTTCAGATAGAAAAGCAGAATCTGACTTCACTCCTTCTCCGAATCCCCAGAGGATACACTTTCAAAACTGAAGATTATATTAAAAATATTTAATTGAAAAGCAATCAACTTATATAGCTAGACTTAAAAATTTTGCCACTAAGCTTCAGAAAATTTGAATTTAATTTTACAAGATTTCCGACTTAGTTTGTGTTAAATGAAGGAAGTGGATGGATACACTTCCTTTTCATGCATTTCCTTGTAAATATTTTACTTATCACAATTAAAACACCGTATGTATGCATCTTTTCCCATCTTTAACATCTCATTCTTACTAATAAAAAGAAGTATGGGAATTGAAGGAATTCGTTTTCTAACTAGTTTTTTCAAAGCCATATAACGAACCAAAATCCTTAATATAACATCTGAAGATTTTCAAAAACAAAGTGTCTTTTTTATTAGCCCCAGATTTCATTTCTGACGAATATTATTATGTCCACATATATACTCCTTCTATTTCAAAATATCTACCATTTGTTAAGGTTATTATTTATGGGTACAGTCTAAGAGAAAGTAGAGACAAGTTTGTTTTTGTTTTGTGTTTTCTTTTCTCAAAACTATTTTATAAAATTATTTTTTAAAACAAGTTTCAAAAATAAAAAATATCTGTTTGGATAATTGTTCTAAAAAATTGTATTTGAAAATAAAAAGGTGAAATTTCCTTAGACCTTCTAAGAGAAAGTAGGTTTTTTGCTGCTACCGAAAGCAGTTTTTTTTTTTGGGTGAACAAAGCAGGTTTTTCTTAACCTTCAGAGAAACTAGTTAAATAGTCTAGTTTATAATAAATAATTCGATGTTATATGACTAAATTTCCTTAGACCTCAGCTAATAGAGAGAGAGTATCGGAAATGATTTGATTTATGATATTGCTATACATAAAGAATAAAATTGTATAAAAAAATTTTACTCATTAAAACTATAAAGTGAGAATCATCTATGAAAACTAAAACTTTAAAGTGATAAATAGTGATCGCTGCCTGATGAATGACCAATAAATAATTGTGTAGTTTGTGAGTACATGACCATATAGATACGCAAACTATTTATTTTGGGACAAAACCCCTTAAAATAAATTAAACTAAACAAAATAAGTTTACTGGTATTTGAAGGTTTAATCACTCTAGTTTGTGGTGGGATCTTTTATCCCGGATTCCTTCATCAGATCGGAGTAGAAATTAAGGTTATGTTTCCTACGAGGAAAATAGAGGAAAAGAAAAAAGAGAGAAAATTTTAATGATTTTAAAAAAATTAAAGAAATAAGGTTATAAAATTTTAATGAAAATAAAAAATAATAAAGGGAAAATCCCAAAAAAGGTCCTTGGAATATGGGAAATGCCAGATTGGGTCCTTAAATTTCGAAAATGACAGAATGGGTCATTGGCCCAATCTGTCATTTGTGAAATTCAGGCAAATTGACAATTTTGCCCTCATTTATTCATTCACTACAATGATTCAAGGAATCACTATAAGAGTTTAGGTGTTACCTAGATTCGTATAGCGAATAACTATTCACTTTTTCATAGTCAGGTGTCTTGTTATTAACTACAACTAATGCTGTAATCACTAAAACAATGTAAGCATTACCTAGATTTGTGTAGAGAATAACTACTCATTTTTTCATAGTCAGGTATCTTATTATTGTCAGGTACCTTATTATTAACTACAACGAATCTTGTAATCACTAGAACAGTATAAGCGTTACCTAGATTTGTTTAGAGAATAACTACTCACTTTTACTCAGGGGCAAAAATGTCAATTCGCCTGAATTTCACAAATGACAAATTGGGTCAATGACCCATTCTGTCATTTTCGAAATTTAAAGGCCCAATCTGGGATTTGGTATATTCCAAGGGCTTTTTCTGGGATTTTCTCAATAATAAATTAATTAAAAATTTTAATTTCATTTTTTCAAAGCTTATTAACATTTGTTCTTTCATCCTCTCCGCTCAAACTCGCTGCCACCAAACGGTCCCCAAAGAGGTCAACGCTTCCTCTCGCTTTTCTTCCATTCTGACGTCATCACCCCGCAACGTCCCATCACCCTTTCCTTTTCTACTTTTTTATTTTTAATTTCTCATTTGTTTTATCCGGCCTTTTCCTCCCGCGACCCTCATAAATACTTTCTCCCATGCCTCTGACACTCACTCGCTCCCTCACTTTTATCCCTCCTCCGTCTAGTAGCTGCTTCCGATCTCCGGTTAAAATATCGCACATCAACACGCGCCATGTACCCACACTCTAACCATACATTCTCACGCGCCGCCAAATCCATCGATCATTTGCCGTCGCCAGCCGCAGCCACCACGCCACCACTACCCCATCCTTCAGTTACGTCAATGCATTCCATCTCCACTTCCCAGCAACACCTCATCCCGGACCAGTTCGCCGTCACTGATTTCGACTCGCTGCTCAGCTCGGAGATGAGCCTCAACAATAATAGTTGCAGCAGCGGTTGTAGCAGCTACGGCTCGCCAAGTTCGCTGCCCACCTATAGAACTCAGCGGCCGAGCTGGATGCAGAGGAGCGAGAGCAGCCACTCGCTCCATAAGAATGAATATCGCAACCCTGTTTCTACTCTGCTTGCCGAGTTTCTCGACTCCGACGACGGTCCGGTTCGCAGAGTCTACAGTACTGGTGATTTGCAGGTTAATCCTCCACTCACAGTCTCACACATGCAATCTCTGTTCTGCTCTCTCATGGATAAGCTGCCTTTAATACACACACAGTGCGAAAATTGATGTGCACAGAGTAATTCAAAGAAGCTATCATACTTGTTTTATGTTAGATTTCAAGCGCTCATAATTACCTAGGACAACAGTATTTAATTTTCAATGTTTAAATAGTGTATCCACTCATTTTCAGAGACTGAACAAAACTTGCATGTGGGTGGTCCGAAAAAAGGATAGGATTTGATTGTTTCGGAATTAATGCCAATGGTGATGGATAGATTTTGGTATGCTTATGATTTTAATATTTTTATACGTACATACGTAGATATATATGTGGTGTGTATGAATTATGAAAAAATATATTGTGCATTATAAGCATCTCATCATATCATTTGAATTTAGTTTTCTAATTCTATAAATTGTGTGCGCGCCGTATTTAAATTGGAATATATTTGGTTGTGTTGTGTAAATGGGTACAGAAGGTAAACGGAATGCAACAGAGGAATCATGGGGCAGAGATTGCATTGTCAAGCGAAAGCAGTATGATCATAGAGGGGATGAGCAGAGCATGTCGTTATAGCCCAGAGGAGAAGAAGGTTAGGATTGAGAGATATAGAAGCAAGCGAAATCTGAGAAACTTCAACAAGAAAATCAAGGTAATTAATTAGCCTGTTTTATTTTTTTATTTTCATTAATTATCTAATTATTGGGGGGCAAAAACAAGACAGAAAAGAAGCAGAAGCCACTAAAGATGGACAGCACTGTGAGAATGGGAAATTCAATCCATGTCCACACTTTTGAACAGATTTGGGTGAATGAACCCCCCATTAAATAATAAATCATGTCCAACTCTGGGGTAAAAGTTAAGAAAACGGTGAAAAGTGAATCTCAATTGAGGAATGAAATGACAAGCATTTTCTAAATAAATCGTACTACCCGAAATTGTTCCCCATATTCTTTGCACTATAGCGACCTGCTATCGCCTCACTAAACGACAAAAAACAGCTCCTGTGTTTTTATGTTTTATTATCACAGTTTTGAATCTCTGAGCCATGAACTCTTCTCCCAAATTTGTCTCGTTCTCCAACTAAGAATCCCATTACTGCCAAAATCTCAAAGGAAATAATTCTTCTTCATGCTGTGCTATGTTATTATAAGTTTATAACACCAACCTGGCCTGTCGTATCAGGAAGATTTTAGACAGAATTGAGTGTGCGCGCACCCACACACACGTATGAGCTAGTTGTTTATTAATGATTAATTCAGAATGAAAGTGAATAAGAAATTGTGTTTGTGGGGATTAGTATGCATGCAGGAAAACATTAGCAGACAGCAGGCCGCGCATCAGAGGAAGATTTGCAAGGAACGAAGAAACTGACAAGAGCCCTCCAGTTCAGTGGAGCCATGAGAATGGTGTTGGAGCTGACGAAGAAGATGAGGAAGAGGATAATTGGGTTAATTTATTTGATAATTTAGTTGCTGCAAATAATCTTGTTCAAGGGCCTCAAGATAGTTCTCCATTTGGTCTCATGTTTTAGAATAAAGTATAGCTATCAGGTTCAACCGGGATTGCTTTTGATCCTCCTTCTATGTATTATGGTGCGAATTTAGAAATTATAGTAACTATTAGTGAATAATGTAAATATATATATAGTGATTGGGATGTGACCATGTGCTCCTACTGGACTCTAATCTAGCTAGGGTCAAGTTTTTGAGTGCCCTTTTTAACCTTTTTATAGACTCTGCATCAGCAGCAATTAGTGCATAATTGTATATCAAAACTTTAATGACAAGTTGTTATTGTGGTTTCTATATGATTGTACTGAGCTGCATATAAATACTCTTTGTGGAAGCATTCATGAGAAAACAAAAAGGTAAACAATAAAGTATCCTGAAATGTACAGGGCTGTGGTAAAACATTGAGATTGATCCCCTATGGTGACAATATGGTTGCTCTAAATTTGGCTCTTCCCCAATTTTTGCTTTCTTGCAGCTGCAGGGCGTCGTGATTGCGTTTACCACCTTTCAGCTTTGAATGGAGAAATTTTTATCTTCTTTTGCATGACCAAGTGGTATGAAAAATATTAAAAGAGTAACAATTGTACCCAAATTCAAATTTAGTTGAACTTAACAGCCTCACAAGCACATGCATATGACATAATTTTGTCAGTATGTAATATATATCAATAAAATTAATCATAAGTTTGTGTGCGTAAATTTAAATATTGAGATAAAACAAGTTATTTGTACATGAGTAATGAGAGAAATTGAGACCGACAAGTTGGACCGTCTTAATCAGTCCCTACCATAAACTTGTCTTTAGCCGAAGAAGAGTAGTAAACAAAGAATTGGTGTGCATCAACATGTCTAGAATCTGTTTGGTAAACTTATGTTTCGGAAAATATTAAATTGAAGGCCACTTGTTGCATCTTCATGTTGGAGCTCCTTCCTTATTTATATAATATTGCCCACTTCGGGTATTGCTTTCTCACAGAGTTACGAACCCAATGATTAAATAAGATTGAGGTGTCTAGCTTTCATAAATGATTAAGCAGGAGTCGTACAAATTACAAGTTCACGTTGTGAAGTTGAGGAAATAATGAGATTGACGCATTGATGATTGTTTTGAATGAATTGTAAGAGTGTGCGTGAGCGAGAGGTAAACAAAGGCTATGACTTGTGAGGTAACATGCAAATGTGGGGAGAGGACGGCCCTATGCACGTCTTTGTCGGCCGGCACTCTGTTAGCCACTAGGCCTCTTTGGGTCCCTTTTTGATTCCACAAAACATAATCAATTCTAAAAGTAAAAACCCATTAGCCATTCTCAAATTTAACAAAAACCCATTAATTGTAAACGGACAAAAAGTGGAACCCAAAACTGTTTTTTCAAGAATTAAGAAACTTTTAAACCATGTCACCTGGGGGAATTCGAACTGTCGGATCATGCGTTCATGCTCTGCGGAACACAGAGTTAATCAAGAATTGACGCGGAGTTAAAGTGTGGGCAAAAACAAGTGTGTGCCAAACTGAGGCAAATTGACCAATTTGGTGCTGGAGGAGAAAGATGAAAAAGGCACCTGAAGAAGAAAGGAGGAAAGGGATTGAATGATTAAGGAGTGAAACTGGAAGGCATGATTGCGTAGATAGATAGGGTAGGCAGGTGGCTAGAAGCTATATATGAATTAGTAAACACACCTTCAAGTTTGGAAAAAGGCCTCCAAATCTAATATTAACCTTAAGCACCATCGTTTGCCTGCTTATTAATCATCATCACAAATAAACTGCACATGGGAAGCAATGCTAGTCAGCTCCGGCACTAGGTCCCATCTCTGCTTGCTCGAACCTTCCTCCTCCTTCTTTTACTTAGGGCCTGTTTGGGTGTTCCAAAACCGTGGTTTCAGAAGCACTTTTCCGCAAAACGAGGTAACTTCCTCCATATATTTACTTTGTAATCCGTAAAAACACTTCTGAAACCATGGTTTGGTTTCTATCCAAACACTCCCCTATCCTTTCATTTATTTTATTATTACTTATTTGGCAGAGCCTTTAGGTTTTGAGAAGCCTTCCCCTTTCGAATGTCCACGCCGAAATTAGGTAGATTTATTAGCTGATTGCTTATAATAGGATGACTTATTATAATTTCTATTTTTCATATTAATATTCATATCGATAAAGAAGGAACCTATGCTGGCATTTGTGAGACTCTTTGAGAGCAACAAACCCTGTCAAAGAAAATTTTGTTTGTTATTTTCATGTGTAATCTCATTCGTACCAAGGCATCTATTTTAGTACTACGCTCTTCATCTTAAGTTAGTATTTAGAAAAATTAATGCAAATACGTTTCCTAGTTCTGTTTCAGAGAAGAAGCGGGAAAAAATAAAATAATAAACACAAACGCCAAGCATGCTGGGCCCATCACTGGAGTCGCTGAGAACAGCTGAGTTGGGCCGAGTGTTAACCCAATAATGGCCAGAAGCTCTAAGATTCTCTGGTCCTGGGCTAAGTTCACATTATCATGGATTTCCCAGCCATTTGGACCTTTATTTGTTTTTGGTTTTTGGGACCTATTTTGTGATCGTGTCGTGCTATACTACTATTCAGGACTCATTATGCCATTTGTACGAGGGCAAAAAAGAAAGGGTTTTCATTATGCCACCTGCAACATTACGCAGGAGGACGTGTTTAAATGTAAACGCACTAGATTCCGAGGAGTCCACTAAATGACTTGCTTCTTCAACAATCATGTTCCTCTTGTAAAACCTATGATTTCTCTGCTTGGTAGTGATGTTTATCGCATTATTAAATCCTAAATATCATATATTTTAGAAGGAATGTGGGACGTTTGGCATTTTGCAGATGGTTTGCTTCTTCCACGCCTAATGGATGTGTTTTCTGACTAACCTTCCATAATGGATATGTGATATTCTCAGAGTTGCTTGATTTCACCAACTCAGTTTGTAGAAATTCATCACGTTCGAATTTCGAAGAGATGATGATTCTGGAGAAAGACGAAATCGCATGTATGAAGATGTGTGTCTTGTACTGTGTAGACGGGACCTTGCAAGCTTGAACTGAGAGAAAGTGACCTTAATAAGATTATGCAAACGAACGAGTTAATTATGATAATCCGCCTACTATCTGATAAAATAATTATCATAATCCTGTCAACTCTAATGTTACATTAACCGAAAAAAATGAAGGATGAATTAAATAAATACTATATTATTTTTTAATTCTCCTGAGAAAAAAATTGAGATCTAGCTAGCCAGTGGTCCGAAATTAATCAATTGGAAACACATGTAATTTTAATATTTTTCAGTATTAATTTTTATAAAATAAGTATGATATATAAAATAAAGAATCATCACCTCCTTAAAACTTCTGAACTCCGTGGGGTAATAATCAAGCTATCAATATATAAATAAATATATAACAAAACATACTATTATTTTTTATCCTAATTATAAGATCTCGTTTGTAAGTTTTATAATTAAGATTGAAGGTAATATTAAAACCACAAGACATTATGATTGTTTAAAATAAAAATCGTGCTACGCTTAACATAATGGTGGCTAATCAGCCATTTGTTGGAAGTGAAGTTTGAAAGGTATTTATTGGAAAAACAAAAGGGCGGTTTGCCCACATGTTTTGTCTCATTTATTCAAGTCCCACGCCTAAAATAAAAGCATCATTGCATCAAGAACGCGAAACACAAAATCCATATCTAATGCCGAACGTGAAGACAATATGACCTCCAAGAATCGCACTGAATCACTGCCCACTCACATCTTATTATACCCTGATGCCATTTCATGTCTCTATCATTGAAACATGAGCCCTCATATTTATGTTACAGCTCACAGTCTATAAAGCTCCAAGTCGCCACTCTTATTTTGCCCAATCCATTCACTCTACTATGCTTCCATGACCTCTGTTTGCATGTCCAACACCGTCCTCCTCCGCCGGCCGACCTATGCGAATCTCCATAAGTGGCCGGAATCTGAGGCGGAGTTTGTGAAGACGGTGATGAGCTCCGGCAAGGGGAGGGACACAAGTTCACCCACTGGTGGTGGTTTTGATGATAGCATCTCGTGGGGGCAAATGTACTTGAGAAGCTATACATTTTCAAGAAAGGAGGAGGGTGTGAAGGACAAGACTATCAAGTATTTGAGAGCTTGTGCCAAAAATGTAACAAATCTTAAAGGTAGGGTCAGGATTGACCTTAACATGCTTAAGAATGTGTCTTATGGTGCCTTTTTCTCAGTGTTTCACCGTTTGCTATCATGCTCTTCCAAGGTTGACGAGGCTCATCACCATGGACCACTTTTTTAATTAATTGACATTTTATCCCTGCTCTATTTCATTACTACAAACCTCTCGTCCGCGTACTTACTGTTTTTTCAATTTATTTCCCCGGATCATGGACCCCCCCCCCAAAAAAAAAATCTTATCACAAAATAAGTTCTGTTGTGTTAAAATCTGGATCAAGACGCTTATTTATAGAAACGCTAGAATATGGAATAGTTCTTTTGGCAGGGTCAAGATAAGGGCTATTATTGTGGAGGTTTGTTTGGCGGGATGTATGCCCAATTCCCCAGACTGAAATACATACATACATACATGTTATGGGTAAAGTATAAAGGAATGTCGAAAGATTCTGTTTATACTGGGAAGACAACATTCATGGGAGAATACTAAAGAACAAAACCGATACAAAGTATAAACAATGAATGTTCTTGAGTCAATTGTGAGACATTTCTGAACATTTGACTTGTTTGGCACAGAGAAACAACTTCTAAATTCTAATACGCCTTGGAATTTCCGTTTTACAAGCCGGCAATGCACATGGCAGGATCAGCATGCCACATGGGCTGCTTGCTTCTGCTGTCTGGTGCTCCGTTTTTAAGTTATAAATTCGCTTTTGATTTTCAGTTTTTATGCGCAAAGTATCATATTAATTATTTGATTCTCTTTTCTCATAATCTCAAGTGTGTCTGCCGATAAGTGGTGGTTGAAGATTGCAGCTAGTACAATCACTGTGTTCAAAGATTCGCTATATATATTCATATGACAGGAAAAATATAGCTAACATGAATCTTTGATAACTTTTACTTTCTATCTCAAAAAGTGATTCAGAAAGTTAATCTTTCGATTATTTTTGTTGTCAATTCATAGTCACTATCACTCAATGCTCCTAGCTCCAAAGCCACCAACATCCTAGCTGGTAATTATTTAGTGGAAGAACCTGTGATTTGGGATCAGAATGTTCGGAGTTTTACTACTTTATCCCGGCACAAAATTTGAAAATCATTAATCGATTTCTGCCCAAAACAATCTATACTGGCAGAGCTTGAAATATTTCAAAGTTGGGTGCTTTCATATAAAATTTTAACAATTGAGAGAACACCTTTGCAAATTTCTCCTCTTAGAATTCCACTGCTATCCATACTTCCACGAGGAATCTTAATTGATGGAGATGGGAACCTACTTCCTTTATGATCATATGATCTGCTAAGGGTTCATGTGGCACATCATGGCATGCACATCTTGAATCTAATTCCAGATCGTATTTTCGTCTATCACTGGGTTCTACTCTATACGCACACATATAGACGTGTGGTCATGCGCTTTTGCTTAAAATAATGAATTCAGAATTAGGATTACTTCTTATTGCGAATGGACAAAACGGATGACAAAATAATGCCATTCAGATTTTTCGAACAATATTAACAACATCAAATATGAGATCCTCAATCGCTCTTTCAACATCAAGCAAAAGCAAATAATTAAAATGTTCAAAGATTTATGTCCATTTACTTCTCGTAGTTGAGCTGAACTGGCATCGCTGTCACAGTGTGGGGGTTGGAAGTGGCCCACTTGATTAGGTGAAAAGCAAAGGAAGGGCAGAAGAGACTAGTGGTAGCAAGCAAGTGGTGGCAGTAGTGATAGTGGGCATTGGCACTATCTTGCCACTATCTCCATCTCTCCCCTCACTTTATGCAGTGAAGGCGCGTTTTCTCACATAATAAAATTAAAAACTCAATCAATTATTTCTCATTTTCCACATAAAAAAAAATGCCCTAATTCTGTTGTGAATTCCGATTTTCTAGTATTTGCCATCAAGGGAGCTCCTGGGTTTCTAGAGTTTTCTGAGTAAATTTCAGAATTCAGCGAGAACTGTTACGTGCTCTGGGGCAGGAGGGTAATGTCTGAAAGACGGAGATAACATGATTATTAACCCTACAAAACTTGTTAAGGAAGTGAAAAATGCTATATGGAATCATACGAAAACAGAAGGAAACTGAAGGAGACAGATGAACAGAAAAATTAAACTAAATAAACAACCAAGAAGACACAACAAGCTGCATGGCAAGTTAGAGATGCAGCATGCTTGACTTTCTGGGGAACTTCAAAAAAAAAAAAATTCTGGATTCAGACATATGTAAGACAGTTAAAGATACATGACCAATTGACCATCCAGATTAACATCAAGGGGAAAAAACTTCACGAGATGCTTGTTTACAGATGAAGCAAACATGTTTCATTAGCTTGGTCTATCTTTACAAATCTATGGTTGCCTCGTTCTTTTGCAGATAACTACTGATAAGAATTCAGAAGACAAACCAATCAAAAATATATTTAAAAAAGGGAAAACAAATAGTGGTGCACAGGTGCAGATACGAATTGCGGACCATAGAAGCTAAGAGTCTACCAAGTCACCTCCCTTCAGACTTCACCAGCTGTGAGAAAACCCTACTCATTGAAACACCAGACAGGTCATCCGTGGTTGAAGCTTCAAACTGAACAGCAGAAACACTTGCATCCTGGTTGAAATTGTTTATCTGTGGGGAAAGTTCACCAATCATGTTGGTACTGTTTTCTTCAGGATCACCTTGAACAACTGCCTCTTGAAGCTGAAGGGCATACTCTAAATTCCACAAGACATCCCCCATAGAAGGCCGATCCACACCAAAGTCAGCCAAGCATTTTTCTGCAGTTTCTCCAAACTTCCTAAGAGAATCCGGTCTGATCTTCCCTGCGAGCGTAGGATCTATGATTTGTTCCAATTGCCCTTTTTTCTGCCACTTCATTGCCCATTCTGCCAAGTTCACCATTTCTCTGGGAAGTGATGGGTCTATCACGGGTCTTGCACAAAGAACCTCAAACAAAACCACCCCAAATGAATAAACATCTGATTTTTCTGTTAATTGTTGCCTACGGAAATACTCAGGATCAAGGTATCCAAAACTTCCTTTTACAGCTGTGCTCACATGAGTCTGATCAATTTCAGGCCCCGTCTTTGATAGCCCAAAATCAGCAACTTTGGCCATAAGGTTCTCATCAAGCAGGATATTCGCCGACTTCACATCTCGATGTATAACTGCTTTGGCATAGCCAGTGTGAAGGTAATGTAGTCCTCTAGCGGCCCCAATACAGATCTCCAGTCTTTCTTTCCAACTTAAGCTGGGGAGACCTGAACCGTAGAGATGACTCTTGAGAGTCCCCTTTTCCATATATTCATATATCAGGATCATTTCATTTCTTTCATCACAATACCCTATCAGTGACACCAAATGGCGATGACGGAACTGAGATAACATTTCAATTTCAGTTCGGAACTCTGCAAACCCTTGCTGGGACCGAGGATTCCCTCTCTTAACTGCCACCTTAGTGCCATCATTCAGTTCCCCCTTGTACACTTTCCCAAAACCACCTATCCCAATAACCCAGCTCTCATCAAAACTGTTTGTAGCATCCTGAACTGCCACAAATGGGATGCGATACCCTAAGTTGGAAGCAGCACTTAGTGTTGTGCCATTAGAATATTTACTTCCCATGGTATGAGAAGTTCCCTCATTAATGGATAAGGGAACCCATGTCTTTGAAAGGCCTTGTGCCAAACGTTTTCTTCTGCACAATACAAAGAAAAAAACCAAGGCCACTGCGCACAATGTCCCCACTACCACACCCACTACAATGGCTACTTTCTTCTTTGAGCTTGAACCAGTAGCAATCACAGCCGTTCCTACGCTCAGACTGCCCTTAGAATTATTCATTTTCATGATCTCCAGCCCATTCAAAATGGCATTCGGGTAATTACCATTGTCTAAAGAAGCAGGGCCGACACTTACACGAATTTCCTTGCCATCAGGGGACGTAACAAAATCCTTGTAAAGTGGAGCACCCAAAAGATTGTTATTCAAAGTGCTGAGATCCACATTTTTATCCGCCATGTAGGAGTTGACATAGATTTTGAAGTAAAGTTCGTTGAGACTTTTGCTAACTATGTCACAAAAGTGAAATCGAACAAGATACTGAAATCCTGGATCTACATCAAACTGCCAGGACACGTTGAAATTACTACGAGGATCACCGCTCGAGTTCATTTCTGTGGCAGTACCATAGACTGTACGTGGAGCAATATTCTCTGTTGGCCCGCCGTTTACATATTTAACAGCACCCGTATTTGTAACATCGGTAGCAAGGTTAGGAGTGAGAAGAAAATTTTGGTCTGGTACCCAGGTCCGTTGAAGGGTGTCATTTGCAGAGGAGACAGTTGGACCACCCATGTTAACCCTCCAAACTGTCTCCAATGCCAGCGTTACCAACCCAGAGAAACTTTCACTTGGATTTATGGTAGAAGCGTCATCGGCAATGAGTTCATCGGGTACTGAAACAACTTCGATGGCATTCACGAATGCAAAGGAATTGCTGGAAGGAGTAAAGGTGATCACAAGGGTGTCTGAAGTAACGTTCACAGAGTATTCCTTCAGAACAGGATTTTTCTGGGCAGAGAAGTCACTGAGAAGGATATTGTTTTGGGTAGTGACCGCAAAATTTGCAGTACTCATGTTGAAGTTCTGATACTCAAATGGATAGAAATAGAGACGGATCCAATGTCTACCCTTTTGGCCGATCGAGAATGTGTATTTTGAGGGTTCACTGAAGATTCTTGCTGTTTGATAGAGAGGTGAATCCGCAGTGGAAGCGACTGATTTTGAAGAGGTTGTGGCGAGAACGTCGCGTTTAGTAGAAAGGAGATCCTTGTAGAACGCATCCGCCGCGAAATTGCGGCTATCAAATGAAGTATTTGATGCTGCTCCACAATCAATAAGATAATTGTCTTGTGGAACGAAGCTGGCAGAAGAGCATAGCAACGGCAAAACTGAAAAGCCACAGATAAATAAGACAACTTTTCTACGATCCATCATCTTGGCATCTAGGAATTTATGAAAAACCAGTGAGATGGTCTTTTATTTCCCTTCTTTGCCCCTTTGGAGTTTCTACAAGCCTATAGTTCTGGTACAGGTATGAAAGGAGAAAAATAATGAACATCTATTTATCAATCAAAACACGCAGGCATAGAACTGAAAAGGAAGAAGCAAGATGCACCTTTAACACACTTCAGATAAGCAACAGGATCGGAAAGAACCAAATATGAAAGCCCGGCAGCAGAAGATGAATCTGGAACAGGAGCAGCCGTCTGTTAGTTGCAAGAAACTGAATGAAAATACAGAAAGAAGAAGAACAAAAGCACGTTCAACAAGAATCCAGTTAAGCACAGGTTGGGATCAACCATTTGTTGACGTATTCATAGATTCGCTTCTAAAATTAAAAAGGAAAAAAAAAGGGAAATAAAGGAGAGAGATAAAGAGAGCAAACAGAGTCAGAGGAGTGGGAGGAGGATTGGAATACCATACCGAGCTTCAGAGGGGCAAGCTGGTTTCGACCAAAAAACCTTGTATGTCCGATTCTCATATGGGAGAGGTAAAGTAACAGCAACAGCAAATAAAATAACGAATTTAAAAAATAAAAAAGTGAAGAAATAAATAAGGGGGGTAAGTAGGTAAGTCGCTGGAAGGTAGTAGAATTTGAGTGCAGAAAAGATCTATAAATGATACTCAAAGATACAATGGCTTTCAGGCACAGGGCTATTTTTCACCCACTTGCGCTTGTGGGCTCGCTGAGAGTATGATATGAACTGGATAATCAAAATTCGGAAAGGTAAGTTCCTGCCGGGAACGATGCGATGCTTCTTCAGGGAAGTAACCGCGACCAAGTAAGGAAATTATTAATTGCTAGGTGGGCAGATGCGTAATTTTGTCCGGTAAAAATGTTGAAGTTTCTTAAACTCGAGGACCGTTTTTAAACTTAAGCTTTTATTGGGAAAGGTTAGCTTGATCTTTTAGCATGATAAATAAAAAATGAGAAGTTAGACTTGGATACTGTCCTGCTTAATTTATGCCTGGAATAGCCAACGAATAATTCGTTGTGCTCATTATCTCTACAGCTGTTTTAAATCATTCATTTGCCCCAGACTTCGCATTCATAAATCTCTTCAATTATGCCCCCCTACAGAAGATTCTTCAGCTAATTTTTTTAAATAAAAATGGATATATTTGGTCTTCCTTTTAAGAAAATTGTTAAGCGCTATCATGTTACCCCCCCCCCCCCAAAAGAAAAACACCAAACAAAAAACCCTCTCTCACCCTGCAAACTTGAAAAGAAAAAAATCTGAATTGATACGGAACTCGTTCGAGTGAACCAAATAGGTTTTGTTTTGTGAAAGCAAATTGGAGGTGAAAGTGACAGAAAGCAGGAAGGAGAGAAAGGGTTTAGGATCAAAAAACACGAAAACGGAATGCGAGTGGGGGAATGTTAGCGTGTGGCGATGGATTTTTATTATTATTATCATGTGGGACGCCTGCAAGCGTGGCATTCTCTGGTTGGAAAAGCGGCAAGTGCGGACCTAATCCATGAGTTTTTGGCCCACTCAATTTCATATTTAGTGTTTTGCCCGGAGAACATATTTTTCGCAGCGTTACCCAACAAATAAATAATAATTTTCGAGGCGTCATCTTTCATGGCGCTGGGTCAGGAAATTCGAAAGAATTTGCAGCAGCTAGTGGACGCGCGACACGTAAATGCAATATCATATACGGTCATAATCAATACACTGATACAGTTTGTCGGTTTCATTCCGGCGTCGATCTCGCCGTTTTGAGTGAAACTTTTTTTTTTTGGGTAAGCTTATTTTATTAAAAACAATGTTATTTAAGACACGAATACCTAATATGAGATTTGAATCACGAATCATTATATGAAAATCAACATTTTTTATTAGACTTAATATCGGACACTAAAATTTTCATTTCATTTCTAATATCAACTGGCCCACAAAAGTTGAACTAAGGATATCTGCCGTAACTAATGTTTTTTTTTTTTTAAACCAGACCATAACTTATGTATGGCTTTATAAATATAAACAAGTAAATTGAGTATCAAAATATACCTATGTGCAAGTTTCAAATCAAAAGAAAAATATGTATACCTTCTTCTGTTTTTTTTTGGCCCAGGAAAAGTATTTATATTCCATTTAATAAAAATATTCTAATGCGAGCATTCAAATTTAACTAATATGATACTATTATTTATTTGTTCAACAATAATTAAAAAAAAAAGCATCGTAATTTTTTGTCATTCTTGTTATATAAGCATACAGTCTCTCACCGGCACCTAATTATTGAGCGGGGCCTGTGGAGTCGTTAATCGTTATTGACAAATTTAGTCAAATGTGCCATTTATTCGAGAGCAGACGAATCTGACCAAAACAATTCAAAGAAAAAAAAAAAAGATTTATAACTTTCAGGAATTTACGCTTGCCAATAAAATAAGTAATTTTTAATTAATTAGTATATGAGTGAATATTTTTAAAATTCCTTTTTGACGTTATCATTTAATTTTCAATTTTAATTGAAATTATTTTTGAATTAAATACAGATATCATGACACATTTTCATTTTCAACGACGTCTTTAGAATTTAGTCAGTAAGATGAGATATGAGACCTTAAAAATGAGAATGAAAAATCATATATAGGAAAAATAAAATAATGTAGCTTTTCTGTCCTAAATTAACTTAACTTGAGCATTTAAAATTTATATTAAAAAATTAAGCGTTTGCAATTATATTAAAAAGTATATTTAAGACCTTACCCCAAAAAAAGTATATTTGTGAAATAAAATGTATCGCTTAATATTTTGTGAATACAAATTGGTAAGGGTCAATAATGCTTTTTTTTAGACAGTCTTAATTAAGAAGAGCATTAAATATGAACATTTCTTTTAACATAAATCCAAACTTTTTTTAGTTCACCGTATCGTGACCGCCTCTTCTGCACCCATCGACCATGTTAAAGGGGTGTTTGGATAGAAACCAAACCATGATTTCGGAAGTATTTTTACGGTTTACGAAATAAATATGTGGAGGAGTTTGTCTCGTTTTACAAAAAAGTGCTTATGAAATCATGGTTTGGAGGTTGTCAAACACCCCTTAAATGTGAATGCATAAGCATAATTTTCTACTAGGGCCCGTGTTTCTCATAACAGAAAAATATAATTAATAAATGGGCCCCAAAAAAACAAAATTTTAAACCGAAGGAAAAGGACGCGATAAGATGAACACCCCCAGAGAGTTGACTTTGGGGTTCAGATTTAGCAGCTTGCGGTCTACGTGCTCGGCACTTGCAAGCAAAACGATGAATGATGATGCAGAAAATAAGGGTCAAGTACCTTCCCAAGCGATGGCTACCGGTGCAGAAAGAAGACAATCATGAATTTGAATGCATTTCTCGTGCAATTTGATTCGTGGTTTACGTCACAACCTAACGGAATTCAATAATTAACTTTTAAAGAATAAAGTCCTATAAACACCCTCATTTAATAGAAAAACATTGGCCAATTTTCTTCATTGGTTGATCCAGGCACCATATTTCACAACACATATTTTAATCAGCGTCACACAGATAATTGATTAGATTTAGATTTATACAAATGATAGAGGGCGATGAGTTAGTTAATTGGACTAGAATTGTGATGAACGAATTACTAGACCTGATTAATTAAGCATATAAATAGTAACCAACAATGCACTGCCTGCTTCTTTCACTAGGATTGCTTGATAACGGATTGACGATTTTTTTTTTAATACAATGGATTAACGATATATAGCTGTATCTGGGACATGCAAAACGCGCATTGCCATCTAATTCGCCGGTCGCGTGTTTATTGTGCCTTGACGCCTATTCTCACGCTCCTTGGCCAGTCTGGAGTCCCCACCTGTCGCTCGTGTAAGAGCCTCGAGGCAGTTCTAATATGCGGGAACTTATCCGTCACATGCTTCGTGCCAGCTAACAATAAGTCAGATGAGGAGGTCGGTGATTAGTTAGTGCGAATAGCTGTTAATTATTGTCATAATAGTTACTTGATTGTGATTATTATATGTATAAATTTAATTGGAGAAATTATATAATCATGCTATCAAACTAAAGGAAAAACTTGAGATATTAATTATAGTCATCGCAAGATAACAGTGCGTCCCTGGTCTAGTAACTGTCGTTTCCCACTGTATTGCCGCTAGAAACATTTATTGGACGAGAAGGAAAAAAGAACGGTTGGATTCGGACTTGGAGGCTTATCTCTTCCGCACGCCGCTTACGCATGCGGTCCCGTCGCACAACTACACCGCAAACAATGTGGCGTCGTCCCGTTTAAAAGGGGGCGACGATGGATATATATGTGTGTGTGGGTGTGTATATATATAGATGCACTCCTCCTGCGGAAATCAGGCAGAGATTCATGAAGAATTTCGCTTAAGTTGGAATCATGGGTGCTGCAAAATTGCCTTCTCTAACAATTTTGCAAAAGCTTTGCATTTCATTATCTATCACATGATCATCTCCTCAGTTGCCAGATCATAGTGCAATTAAATTATTGCATTTGATTTTTTATCCTACATTAAGACAAGCTAGCCACTACATCAACTTTACGCGGAAACTATTATTAGTCTGTTTTGTTCAAATACTTCAATTTTAGTCTATTTTTAGCTAACTAGTCTGTAACCATTTTATCCTCCCATTTATTTAAAAAAATAATATGCACCAAAAATACGGAGGCTATTTATTAGCCAATTACCCAGGGAGTCAGGGAGATATTTACAAGTTACAACTACCCAACCTATCTGTCCAAAAACAGAATAATAGCTCTTGATCCATAATCAAACTAGTAGTACTCTTTTGTATTTTATAAAACAAAATTTTTATCATGCACTTATTTTATACAGTGCAAAATCACTTAAAATACGATAATCTAAATATCCTATTAACATATTCAAAAGATAGAACGGTGGAGTCCAAGAGCAAAAATGGACTCAATCAATTTTGCTCTGAACATGGGTAGCAGCTGCAGCTTGAATCGTGGCGCTTCAATAGAAGCTTCAGGGGTCGGGCCTTGGGTCCTCGGCCTTCCTCACAAGGAGTGGGCTTCTTACCAGCACCACGGAGAGAAAAGGCTCGCAAAATACAATTCATAAGAGGCAGCCTTTTGATTAAAATCGACACGTGTCGTAATATAAATATACAAATAGATGAATTGCATCCACAGTTAGCTTAGCGCTCACTGCCTTCTTATGCAATATCAGCAGTAAAATTTAAGAGCACCTGGCCATGGACTGGATGGGAACGATAAAGGCCTAGTTGCTGAGGAAGTATTGGGGTGGTTAAAAGTTCTATGGGTTGGGAATTGGGGTGTTATGCCTGGTCAGTGGCGTGATTCAGAAAGTTGGAGAGCTGCGACACAACTACGATTAAATTATGGAGATTAGTAGAGGGGTCAGCAGTCTGGTGGAGTCATTTAGAAGGGTGGGCATAAACATGTATCTGGAACAACTATAATTAATCTCTCTCCCGCGCATATTTATAAGCTGAGCTGCCAACATGTCATACCAGACCGATGAAGAGAAGTTGGCTCCAAACGCACATCACTGTTGGGCATTATATATGGCTTAAAGATCACTGTCGTGTCGGCTAATCATTCGGATGTGCGCATTTGAGCGTATGTTGTTTGTTAAGTGGCCTTTATGGCATGTTAATGTGGCTTAAGGATCACTGTTGGCTAATACTATCTCTCTCTCTTATACTTAATACTACCTCTGATCTTTAATATAAGACCATGTTTGACTTTTATTTTGGTCCTAAATATAAGATCTCAATCCACTTTGTCTCTCATATTTATACATTTTTTTTTTCAAAGTAACCCTTCTAATAATGATAGTTTTAATCAATACACTTGATTAGCAAGGATATTTTAGGAAAGACAACACCTATTTAGGACAAAATAACTAACTCAACTTATTTATTTAATCTCCTCAAATTAGTGAACTGGCTCTTATAATTAGGACCGGAGGTAGTAGAAGAACAATAGTTTGACTTCTGAATATAACATTTCAATCTATTTTATCCCTCTTATTTATCTATTTGTTTAAATATAGTCTCTGTAGTAATTGTACATATTAAAGATTTTATTAAATGATAGT